TAAAGCGCGCGTACTACCGTACTACTACTACTACTACGACGACGACGACGACGACCACGACCACGACCACGACCACGACCACGACCACGACCACGACCACGACCACCACTACTGCCACAGCTCTGCAGTGACAACCATGAGAAGTGTAAGTCCAGGACAGCTCAAATTCAAAGCCCGAGGCCGCGCGCCTCCGGGTGCCAGACCACCAGCATCACTAAACGAGCACGGCTGTGTTCGCAGGGGCCAAAGGTCTCAGCTTCAGCTCTCCCTGGAAGAAAAGGGCATGTCGTACTCCCGTCCCTATGTCTATCTACAGCATCTACAAACTGCTTGCGGCGTCTATCTCCTTGGTCTTATCTCGCACTGTGCATCCTCCTTCTTGCTACTAGTACTGCTCCCAAGTAAGCGCCCGAGGCATGATCTCTTAATCGATCTTCTTTGTTTTTTTTGGCTTCTTGTGTTCAACTCCCTGTCGATGCAAGAGGAATCCCCGTTTGGCATCTCACCTGCATCCTAGCCCCATACAGGTGGCGCCCCAAAGATTGACACGCCCATGGCCGGGTCCGTGACAGCCACGCGCAGGGCTTGCTTGAAAACACTCTCACGAATCTGACTTGCATGTGAGTTTATGGGCCATGGCAACAGGAGCTTCAAGCAACCCCACGGCAGCTCTCCCACTTTGTGGTTCGTGCACGCTGGTGCTGACAAAACCTACCAGAAAAGTGCAACTTCAAACATTCAATCGGCACACCCTGTAATCCGTAATCCCTTGCAACTAGTAGCTCGAATTTTCTCTTGCGACAAGCTGTCGTTACATCTAGGTAGCAACCAGATAGCAGAACTGCTGAAGGATGCAAGATTGCTTTCAACATCTTTCAACCTTGGACAGAAGGTCTTCCGCAAAAACCAAACTCATGCTGCTTCCCCAGCTCTGGGACCCGAAATCCTGTATCCTACAGCCCTCTCTGCGCCATCGTCGCTGGCAAAGCTTCAGTCGTAAATCTTCTGGACCGGCGAGCTCCTTCTATAGCCTGATCACTCCATCGGTCACAGACACGTGCCGGGCAAGTGCGCCGTGGTTCACCGTCTTAAGTACTACCCTATGGCCACTCTGACATTCAATCAAGACGACAATCGAAATCGACACAGCGGTAGCGAAACCTGATGCGTGCTGCATGTCGGGTGCTGGCTTGTGACATCCTGTGACTGCTTCGTTGCTACGTACTCCATGGACTTCAATACTAAAGATCCTGCACGGGAGCATGCGCGTTTGCGCAGATACTTCAGGTTCGGGATGGGGCAGCTTCTTTTGCAATCGATCTGCAAATCCGGGACATCCAAATGGGCGGCTAGGTCGACTACACTGCAAAAGTGTTTTAGAAAAACAGTTGTTGAATGCAGGGGTTGATTGCGCAAATCAACCCTGCGATATTTCCACATGCAGGGTCCAGATCAAGCAGAAAAAGACACACACACACACAAAGACCTACTACACCAAGCAAACGCGAACGCAGCTCCGTACTCAGAAGCCCAAGCTCTCAGGCTTCTGGCCTTTCATGACCTGAAGCGCCCGACATAAAGCCCTTTAGCCATTTATCCGTCTGATTCTGGCTGCTGGCTGAAGAAGTTGCCCTGGTCGTTCTCTGGCCCAATGAGCATCAGCCTGCATCTTGCCAAAATGCTAAAATGCTGTCGGTCCATGCATCGTCAAGCAAAAACTGCTGATGTCTCGCCAAATTCTCCGAGGAAAACTAAGTGCCTGATTCGAGGCCCGATCCTGAACGTGGGAGTGTGGGAGTGTGTCCGGAAGCGCTTGGGCTTCTCATACATTAGGCTTTTGATGATGCAGGGGCTTAGGGGCTGAGGAGCTAAAGCTCGGTGAGGGGGAACAGTTGGAGAACGTTGTGAATTTGGTCACTCGTAAAAAAAAACTCTTGGGGCTGCGAGCAAAGCTTCTCAATACAGACCAGGGGCAGCGGCATCAGGAAGTTGGTCGACATGAGGATGGACAGGCCAATCACCATGAAAATGAAGCCTGCTCTATTCTGGGATTTTTCATGACGAGAACTCTTTTCTCATTCCTCCATGTTGCAGACGGTCGGCAGCAGGCCCATCAAGAAGAACTTTCTCTACTGGCTGGCAAAGTGGCCACAAAATCTCGCAAGGTGCAAGAAGCACTCGAGCTGCTAGTAGATTGCGCTGCCAAGTTTGCCAGGTGCGTATAGCATGTGCGCAGTCGACCGTGTGAGTCCAAATTCGCCATGCGTGCTAGACTGCTTGTTGGTAAGCTTTCAGCTCAGTGCGGTGAGCAACCACAGTTGCACGTTGAGAAACAGTCTTAGGGAAATTAATTGGCTTCCTGCCTCCAAACTGGAAGAAGAAGTAGAAGCCGCCTTGCGAAGAGTAGCTGGTTGCGCTATCAATCGCTTTGCAATGAAGACCAATCAAACAAGCTAAAGCATTCAAGGCACATGCGAAAAGCATTCCTGCCGCGAAAAGCGTGGTGATGGCGGAGTTCGCAACCTAGCGATAAGATTATCCCATCAAGTTCTAGACTCCACGGAGCTGAGAACAATTTCAAAACGACATTTTGCGATTCAACAAGCGATCTACCAACAGCACGTATGCACGACCAGTAATGCTGAAGCATGTCAATTCCATGGAGCGCTGTCATCTCTAGTGGGTTCGCGTGCTCTAGTAGAGGGGGTTCCCGCAAAGGAGTCACCCAAAAAAGCATGTTGTGACTGGTACGACTCGTTGGCACCCAGCACTTGTGTAAATGCATGATGTGGAGATATGATTTGTGCTATGTATCGAGCACACGTATTCTGGCCTGTTTCGTCGGCACCCCGCGCTGTGCAAAGGTACATAGTGGAATACAAATCCCGAGTTGAAAGGCATAGAGTAATCTCTGAATGTCGGGTGGAAACCAATATATTATGCTACAGGATGTGTTTCTGGCAGTAGATTTGGGGCTCCTTCAAAACAGACCGACCATTTAAGGAGCCAGGTGGATCTCCTACCCTCAGAGCCCTGAAGCTTTTCATCCTCTGACCCAAATGCAGCACTTCCCAAGGCCAGTGGCTGAGATGCCCATCTCTTCAAGAGCTGCATGGGCCTGCCAGAACAGTGACGACTGAGCCAATGCCGAGGACTCTTATCAAAGGCCTTTGACTCCAAACCTGGATGGCACGCTCCAACCAACGCCCAGGCCCTGAGGCCCTGATTTGCATAAAAACCTTGACCCTGCCAGATTGACAGCGAGATACGGCAAGAACCCAAAACTGCGGGGCCCACCCTGCCGGTTCGAGTCCTTGCCGATGCATTGTTGTAAGCGTGGAGAAGGTGCACCTTCGTGGGATTTGAGGCTTGACTGCTGTGAAGGGTGCCTCACGACATGTCGACGCAGCGCATGGCTCTTGTAAAGATGTCAACCCTCTTCACTGGAAGAGGACGACACGAACAACATTATGAGAAACGCCTTCGCCCATGTCATTCCAAACAGCCTACTTGCCGTCGCCTAGAATGCCTAGAAGCCCTGGTGAATGTTTGCCATCTCTGCAATGCCATCTACGTTCACGACGAGCATGCTCAGAAAAAAACTCAACTGGTGGCTTCAAGAGCAACCACGACTTGAAAGTTCCACTCCAAGGCTACGCCCACGCCGTCCCAGCAGCAGTGTAGTCCACGGACAAACCGACCGTAGCAATCATGAAGATACCTGGAGACACGGAAATGCCCATTACGCAAGGGGCCGTGATCTTCACTGTTTTGGGTACGCTGCGACCTCCAATGCAGCGGGCTGCAAGGGGACGTGTGGCAACATGCCTTTCGAGACAACGATTTCGCGGCCGTTGGATCTGTCCGCTGAGGGTGTGATGCATCCGCTACATCATGTGATAAGTCTAGGGAAACCCACTACTTCGGTCAACTCTCCAGCTGACGTTATGACTTCGTGCATGTTCAGTTTGTGTCTACTGAGACTTGCTGAGAGATTCCAACTGTTTCAACCTGGTCTTAGTTGTTTGAGCGTCTTTTCTTCATTTATTAGCCTGACAGCGTCCCGACACACATGCCCACAGCCAAAATGAAAATTCCTCCAACATAGCAGTCAAATGATGGTAGCAATGCGGTTGCGCAACCTCATGAAACAAGGGAGCAAAGTATGAAGCAAAGGATGAACGTGGGAGTCCGTCTATAGGACTGTGTTTTTGAATCATGTTCTCTTTTGCGGTGACCGGCTTGGGCCCTTTTCTGCTCTAATGCTCTCCAACATGGTCTTCTGAAACTGCACAGAAAGTGTCGCATGGGATGCTATTTCCGAAATTTTAATCGAGACGGAACTCCGGGAAGGTTCTGAAATAAAACATGACCTCGCGACCTACTACTGCTTGAGAACAACGTAACTCCATGCTCTTTGGCATGGGAAACTTGCAAAGAGGACCACTTCCGTTCACACTCTGTGCTTGTTGCAGTGGACGGTAGGAGGTCCAGAGTATTTCTGTGTGAGCAGGGTCCCACATAATGACACACTTCAACGAAATTAAAGGCACCTTTGCGAGGCTCGGTCAAGGCACTCCGTCATGTCCTGGCATGTCCCTCTTGTGCCCCGGTTTCAGCACGTGCTCATGGAAGCGAAGCGAACTGAAACCAGCAAACTAGAACCAGAAAGCGCTACAGGGCGTACAGTATCTTTCTCAGACCCGCATACGAGGTCCACGAGAAGATGTAGAACTTCTTGGAATACACTTACAGCGCAGACTTACAGCGTCAAGACGGGTCTGCTGAGACAAAAACACTTGCTTGAGATCTGCGGATCTGTGGGAGTTGAACCTGAGGCTCCTGACTGAACTCAGCTCTGACGCGCCAAGGAGCACTCATTCTCGCCCAAACTCCAACCCAGCAACGGAACCACGCCCAAGAACGTGGCAGTGATGCAAATGATACCTCACGGGCGCGCCGTTTGAAAACCATTCTCAAAACTACCCAGAACACCAGCACAATTCACCAAGAGAACTCGCACCTGGTGAAGGCCTAGGCTTTGCTGAGCTGGTATGACCGCACGATATAAAAGCTACAACGAAGCCTGTTACAACACGGAAGTACGCTCTGCGTGGAGCTTCAGGGACAGGAGGAGTAGAGCGACCCCAAGCTATAGCAGCCTTTCTAATCCTAAACTAAGAGCAAATCTTCAAATTCGAGGAGCCTACCATGAAAGCCGCACAGAGTTTGCTACCACGGTGGCATCCACTGTCTCTGCAGCCTAGAGTCACACAAGTCCGAGGGTAGAAGTCCACCAGTTCCAGGTGGTTAGCCTCAAGTCAGAAAAACAAGGAGAGCGTGAAAAAAAAGGATCACCAAAACACATTGGTACCTTTTCGCGGCATAAAAGGCAGCATTCGTAGCTCAGGACGTTGAAACTGAAAATCCTGAGCAAGAAACGAGAAGAGCGCAAGAGAGAAAGAAAGAAGGAAGAAAAAACGAAGGAACTACATAAACCATGACGATGATCAACAGAAATATCAAAGAAGCAAGAAGAGAAGAAAGCAAGAACAACATATCCAGGAAAGGAAAATGGAAGAAATAAAGAAGCATCAAAGGTGTTCCTAAGTCACATGTTCTGATGGGAGGCTGCGCCCCTCCCCAAGCCCCGGACTATTTGTCAACGCAGGCACATTGCTAAAACATTCCAAAGGCATGCTTAAGGCTTAAGCTACATGTTCCCGTTGTGATGCAAGGCTGCACCCCTGCAACCACCTGCCATGCACAGCATTCGCAGCAGTTGATGAGCCCGCAATGTTGTCATTTTCATTTTCTGCGTCAAAGTTTCCAAATGATCTCATGTGCTTGCAGACACTTAATAATTCCAAATGCTTCATTTACTAAGCTTGCTGCCTGACCGAAGCCCCACATGCTGCAATTTACCGTGAAAGACCCCAAATGCTGAAACTTGCTGTGTTCGCAGCTTGTCAAAGACTCCAAGTGCCTTCTACCATGAGCCACCGTGAAAGCCACCGCGGCACATTGCAAAGTACAGTCGTTCCAGCATTCGAGAACTTGCAAGTAGTGTAAACTGCAGTATTTCTGGTGTTCCGGTGCTTCAATTGCTGTAATTTCAGCATTTCAGTCCTTCCAAGACCTGCGAATGCTGCAATTTGCAAGATCTCCAACGCTCCAAAAGCCGCAAGGACTGTGGCTTTCCGCCGTGAATTCACTGTTGTTTGTTGCTGATCCTGCCAACGATGTGTTCTCTACCATGCAAGCTACCATTCCTTTTTTGTTTGATTCCTCTTTTTAATCCTCCACCCTCAAAAACATGCCTTCGACTCAAATTTGCGAAGAAGTCAGCACGAAAGTGCCAAGCCTGAGAGCAAGTGGTATTGGCCTAGGAGAAGAAGCCAACATGTCATGTAACTTCATAGTAATACTTGGCGTTCTGCGCTGCACCTTGCAGCCCAGCAGCAGCAGCACGATGAAGCAGACCAAAAGAGAAAGGCCGATGCCCATGGTTGCCGCCTTCACCATCTCGTTCTGCGTGACGAGGAACCTGATGCAGCGAAGAAGGCTCTGCATGGCTCTGCCATCCCATTCCTCTTTCTCTGGGCGGGCACTTGGAAAGCTGCGTCCTGAAACCTGGACCCTCGAAGCCTCTTGCGCTTGATTTGTGTGGAGTGTCGGAGTCTGAGGCCAGGACAGGTAGAGCTCTGCCGTCCTCAGCAGGGACCGCCTACACTTCAAGCAACTACAAGTACACCATTCGCCCAAAGCAAACAACCGATCAAATCTTGGTGGCGGAAAATTCTCGCAGATCACGAGGCGAAACTCCAATGTGCAGAGGTGCAATGAGACGGGAACGCGTGCACATTCACAAGGAGAATGCGGCATACAACGGCATAGAAACTACAGGAAGGTATCACGGATCCACAGGGCCCAAATTTTCTTGGCTCCAGAGGCACGTTATTTGAAGCTGCTGATTCCTGCCAAGGGTCTGGAAGCCACCCAACGTTGGAGCATGGGTGTTCTGAACAGGCGTGTCTGATGACACCGCAACAAAGTCTGAACTTCATCCGGACAATTCGGATGCAGAAGAGCAATCTCGAACCTCAAACACCAGGCAACCCTGTCCTTGAAGCTCTGCCACCGCTCGTACCACTCGTTGGCTTCGTCCACCGTGTTCCTACAATAACTGCACAATGTCTCAACTCAGCCGCTGGAGAACCTCAAGCTCTACCAGTAGCTGTGCCAAGCCACTCGCGTGGGAATGTTGCGTTGTAGCTGATCCAGGCAAACTGAACCGCCTTAATTCTTGATTCCCGCAGCTGGGATTGAGTGACTTATAGGGTCTGCCTCACTATCTTCAATAGTCTTCTAGACTTACGTATGGTGATTGCGGGTCTCACCAAGTTGAAACGGCACGCGTGGACTTCATGTGCTATGTCATGTCATAGGTCGGCACAAGCGTTGATAGAGCAAAGCCGCCGTCTTGTCTGCGTTGAGCCGAATGCCGGTGTACTGAGCCTTGGCTGGAGGTCTCGGCCGGAGGTTGTAGAGGCGTGCGGGTGGTCTGAAGCACGCACCCAACAATCGCACATGGGTGCTGAGGCAAGCTTGCTATGAAGGCCAACGAAAGCACTGCACATCTTAGAATGATTTGTTCGAATGATGTCCCACGTTTGATTCTCCAGCACCAGCATGCTTAGCAGAGCTGCTGCATCGTCATGCTATGTCCAATCTATGGGCAGCAATCGATCACCTTCAGGTTGGCCGCCCACTTAGACTTACGTAGTACGTACGTGCTCTGTCAAACCCATTGCTCACGCCAGAAGCCTCAGACCGAGCCTGTAAGAGTTACCTAAGGTGTGCGCCTCGGCCAGGCTTACTAGGGCCATCGATGATGGTCGTCCAAAACCATCTCTTGCTGGCAGCCGCGGTGCAGCAAAGTCGGATTCGTATCGACGATTCACGCTCCTGCGCTGCTTGTCAAGGCCCATGGGCCTTCAGATCTAGGGAGGATTCGCGAGGGCTAAACTTTATGAGGAAAAGGCTCATGTGACAGAGTTCCTGTTGGATCTCAAGCGGCAGGCGTGGTCAGGAGGCAAAGCCGCACTCATTCTCCGGTTGACTTGGAAGACACGTGCACTATCCCAGATGTCCTCAAGTAATTGGTCTTCGCCTCCAGGTACACTTGCCACTCTGTCTTCGTCGGGTCGGTTGAAGACCTGACGCAAGCTTGAGGGAGATATTGGGGCACATGTCGGGGCTGTGAATCTCCAAGCCAACAATGGTAAAAGGTACGTCCCTCTTCCTTGCATCATTGCGCTCGGGGGTTTCATTGATGCTGCCTCGGGGATTGCAGACACCTAGTAGTCTTAGTGGTCTGTGCCAGCAATAGGCTGCCAGTCTCTTCAAGCAATTTTTGGCAAGTTCGACGAAAAGTTGCCATTGACCATCTGCAGCGGCGGATGTTCTACAATTGCCAGATCTGCCACAAACACACAAAGAAACATACGTTTCAAAGGTAGTCTAGCGACTGACAAACCCAAGCTGCAACAAGCGGGAATCATGCCGGCGAGGTGCGTCGTTCCCAGCAAGCTGATGAACTCAGTCTCTGACAGGCCTGGATAGCCTTGGAGCTTGCTGACATTGCGGGCGGATGACCAGTTTCAGGAACAGCCTCACTTGTTAGATTTTGTCTGTGAGCAACTTTCACCTCCTAAACGCCAACCCAATACAAGCTTTGCTGCGCAAGTGTGCAAGTGTTGCTGCTGCCGGCAGCTCTGGCAGATGTGATGGGACTTCAGTCCTGACATTTCAGAACGTTCGTGAAGGATGGCGGACTGCCATGCACCATCTCTAACACTTTGGGGGGGAATTTCCGCAACCCCAAGCCAAGGCGAGCTGTCTTGTTTTGTTGAAAAAATTGGTCAAGTCGCTGAGCGGATCGGTGGTGGAGTAGCCTTAGCTTAGCAGCTTTCGGTTGCTTTCTGGCTGCTGCTTACCCTGCCGGGTTTGGGACGTCAGGTCCAGCAGCAGGACACCATTTACCAGACTAAAGCAGCACTGAACTGCCTTGCTCACCAATCCTGATGCAGCTCGCTAGCAGACCCCTTGAGGAGTCACAGCGCCATTCCACGCACAGCCTGGTAACAGGAACCAGGATGCAGGGGACGCATGGCAAGGGTCTCATGCTTGAGGCTTCAAAACCCGGGGCAGATTAAACTGGAAGAGGACTCCAGACGGCATGGTGCCGAAGTTTGTTCAGTACACTCCAACTGCAGGGCATTGCAAGGGTAAGCAAGCGGGAGCCACCTGCGGCACCGGTGCATGAGAGCTGCGTGCGGCCCTGGCAGTTGCCTGCATCGACTCTAAGTATCACTTGAAGCTGAAGCTGTTAGATTGGAGTCTGCTAGTGCAATGTCCAGCAGTGCTAGATACTGAGCTTCGCCTGAGAAACCATCCAAGGAGTCACATGTCGCGTCACTTGCTCAGCAGTTCTGTGTGACCGGTGGATCAGGCATCTTGCCTTGCTTTGATGCCCAGAAGTAGCGCACGTCCTGGAGATGACACATCTTTCACTCAAGGCTGCACCTACGAAATCGTCCTACTTGAGTAGCTCAGCAACCTTGGTCATGAACCTCATCGCACAGAATTGGGGCCCCTCTCCTCCATGAAGCAGTAGCGCGATGTTACGCAGCTTTCGTCAGCCTCACATTTCAGCGCACAAGCCGTGCAAGTCAAAAAGCAGAGTGCCGCAAAACCGTTCCAACCATTCCCCAGGCGTGCCCGCACGTAGAGTCCCTGCGTCTGCCATGCCGTCTGGTCGGCCTGGCGGATGTCTACGTTCTCTGACTAAGAAGCCTAATAGACATCTTTTCGACACACTTACACGCAAGGTCCCGTGGACTCCTTCTCGCCTTCCTGGAGAAACTTTGGCAAGAGAATGCGGGAGGGTCAAACTGAGGAGAAGGTGGGCGTTTCCCTCCCGCCCGGCCGCGCAGTTGCCAGGTAGGGGCGAGCCTTTGGCAAGGCACTGCCTCGGATCTCAAGCACCGAAGCACGTAAACCCTTAAGTCCAATGCGCAAGGTGTCCCAGCACAGCCTCATGCTGATATGTCACTTGCATTTACCCGCGAAAAGCTGCAAGAGCTTTCCAGGCCGCCAGTTTATTATCACAGCTAGCTTGACGGCTTAGAGTCTTGGTGCCCACTCACTATTCGTAGACTGCATCTGCTGCATGTGCGAGCGGCCGATTTCCGCAGCGCGTATTCGCTGCATCCTGGCACTGAGAGTTGAAGCTAAACAGCATTGCTCCGGACCCTTACGAGCCACCTGCACTGACAATTTGGAGCTAAAGGAAATGAGCAATAACTTGTGGACTGAGTTCTTAGGTAATCCTCAAACCTCGCGTTGTTTCAAGCTACCATCCACTACATTTCGATACACTTGCGGGCATGGCCTGGCCAAGATCAACGGCCTCGCAAAGAGCCTGCAAAGTGCGCGAATTCGTGATTTCAAGACAGGCCTGATATGCATGCATTGAGCTCCACATGTCGCTTGTGCCCACACTCCGATTCATTGCCCCGCACTGGTCAGCTGCCACTCCGCAAATCCCTCCCTTCCCTCCCACCAAAAGCTCGAGCTGGAACGCAGGCTTTGCAAGGTCGGTGGCGGAAGTTCCTGCTTGTTCAAAGGGGAAGCTCACGTGATTGGCACGAAGGAGAATGCAAGCCTCCTTCTGTGTCAGGAGATTCTGGGACTGGGGATGTCAGGTCAGAGTCTGGAAAAAGATGCTGGCTAGAGTGGCAGAGTGGCTGGAGCTACATGGAGCTGGGTACGCCAGTCGAGGAGATTAGAATGAGGAGCTTGTGTTGCTTTCAACTGAGTAATACCACCTCATCTGCTTCAGAGGGCAAACCATGGCAGACCCAATTTGTACCAACCAAAGGCTTCTTGAAGGCTTCTTGATAGCGAGCTAGCGCTCGGCGTGCGTTGCTTGCCTTTACTCCAGTCTTGGCGGACGTCTCCGCATCTGAGGTTTGGATGATTTTGGATGGTTTGCCTTGCAGCGCCAAAACACAGGTCCCAAATGTCTGAGCATGCTGCTTCTCGAGCTCTGTCCTCCGAACCTCGCCGCATTTGTCGTGGAATCTGCGATCTCACGTGCCCAGGTGACAGGCTGCCTTTGGCTGCGAAATGGCCAGCAGAATCTTCTGTGTACTCGTCTTCTTGCAGCACATGCGAGGTTTGATAGCTGCAGCCGCTGCCGTTTGGAAAGGTTTGGCCGTACTTGTAGCTTTTCCAGCGCCGCAAGTATGCTAACAATCTAGCAGGCTGGCAGTAAGCTTGTGATCCAACTTCAAATATAAAATCTCCTCAGCTCCGCTGAGGATCATTTTCATGTTTTAAGAAGATGGTTCAGAAAACGGATTGAAACAACACCAGGCTTTCGAAGCGACTGTTTTTTTTGTTCACCCCTTCGGACGCGACTATCTTTGAGCCTCCAAGCTTCCGAGCTTTCATGGCTAAGGGTTTCTCACCACTTCGCTTCTTCTGGGAGGACAGCTCTACTCCAAAGACTCCAAAACGGAGCAGCCAAGCAACTGCTAACCTGGCATAGCAAAACGGTGTCACGTACAGCTCTACATGCAGCTCTATAGCAATCTTGTACTGTGGTCCAGCAGTAGATGTTGCCAGCGCCCTGCATAATCTTATGTCTCAAGTTCTGCACTGTTGTTGACCCATGCTTGGAGGAAACAAAGTACATGAACAGTGAGTACACATTGAAGACCTCATATGAAGCCGATGAAGCCGAGCTGCTCTTCTTCCAGGCCGAACACAATCGAGGCAGTTACCGGAGTCGTGGAGAATTCAAACCTAGGCTGGCGCATCTTGGCGCAGGTGCATGGTCGAGCTTTGGTCCAGCCGAACTGATGACAGTCAACCTGAGCTTTTAAGGTCGGGCAATGCTGGCCAAGGCGCTCTGAGAAGAGGATGTCGGAACCTGGACTGGTTTCAGACATCTCCTGTATCACAAGGTGTGTCTTGGGTCATAGGCCTTCGCAGTATGAGCCTAGTTGAGGGAAGGTTTACACGCGAGCGCATTTCGGCCGGCAACAAGCATGTTTGTGGCCGCAAGCAGTTTTTTTCCCGGTCTACAGACACGACTGATCGTCTCTGTCACTTCCCAGGGGCCCTTGATGACATCGATGTTCTCGCGACCGATAGGGGCCTTGGCAATGAGGCCACCCACGCCTCCTAACTTCCAAGGGGTACATGCAACTGCTGTTGAGGTTTCCTTTGCCATGCTGCACTGCTTGCTCCCTCAGTTCTGTTTAGATTTCCTCTGGTCCCAGCACAAGGATAATTGATTTCTGTTTCGGGGCTCCTGTTGGGCCGATTCTTCTGCTCTCCTTGTAAACTGAGCTCAAAGACCTGTAGTGGTGGGAATCCTTTGAGGATGAAGCTTCAGAGACAACTGCCAACCCTACCCGCTGAAGAGCCCTTATGTCCTGACTGAACCCAACCTAGGACTGTAGACATCCTGCGTCCCGCACCCGCTTTTTTGCGGTTCGGAGCTGGACACCCGCGCTCGTTGACATGGCAATCACCTCTGTCGCTGCAATAGCATCTTCACCATAAAAACATGCTTGTGCACTAGGCGCAAACCTGCGTAACCATGATTGACCAGTTGACAGGTACCTGCAGAGGCTGGCAGAGGAGAATTCAGACATCAATGAAAGTGCCACCATGCAGCCACCACCAGCCAGAACAGGATCAGCTTGATCTTGTGGTTGTCGTAAAAGCCTCAGGAAGAAGGCAGCCAGCGCTGCTAGCACGTGGTTCGCAGCTCACAGGTTTGGGGCTGGAACACCCCATGCAATACTTTGTCCTGGGAAGTTCTACCGACACAAGTCGCTTGCTGACTACACTGACTACACATAAGCGCAACACGCTCTTCAGATCTCTTGACATCAGTCCTGAGTTGTGTTGAATTTGGACACTTCTTCCAAGAGCTGCAGCCAAGGCGCGGTAGGCCGGGCCTGCACAGTGGGTGCACTGGCAAAGTCGCGCATGGCGTGCATTGACGGTATTTCAATGGCATAGCTCGGGGAACTCTTTGAAAGGAACAGGCGCCTCCGTACTAAGTACGTAAGCCAGTAGCTAGTGAGGCTCCAGAATCTCCATGGCCTTCAAATGCTGAACTCATTTTGACAAATCCTACCTACGCAACCTTAGTGAACGCAGATGGACAATTGAGGCTCAGGTCCCGTCCTGCGAAGAACCTCTCCATCGCACGCGGCTCCTAATGCAGGCTCTACAAAAACGAGCCCAAAGCACAAGCCAAATGGAGCTAACCAACTGGGAGAAAACTGCGGAGTAGAGCTGTAGCTTTGTTACAACCAAGTGGCTGGAGCTTCATCCGCCTTTTTCGGTTTCGGCACGAGCTTCCTGCCGCTAGCTCTCACGCACTGGGGCTTGCAAATGTCTTTACACCTGCTGGCATTTTTGCTAATTGCACCGAATGCAAGTTCCAGGCTTCGTAACAGAAGCGTCCACATCAGGAGTTGCCAAAGTTGCCAATGGTGTCTCTGGTGCTTCCATGCTTAGAAGATCCAGCGCTGTCCAACTGGTGCCACAGCACGACAGGCAAGCGCGGAGGCCACCAAAGCAGCAGCCAGGACCTGATAAAGTTTCAGTTTCGTGGCTCGGCCCCCAAGAGATTCATCTTTTCTACTGCCCATAACGGAAAATGGAGCAAAATGCAGCACCGTCGCCTACATGCACTTAGTGAAGAAATTCAGGCCAAGCTGCCCAAGCATGTTCCAGGCTCCCTGAGCGGAATCTGGCAGCAGCGGCAGCAGTAGCCAACGCCCTGAGTAAGAGTGACTTCCGTGGAATGTGGTAACAATACCTGACACCAACCCTCTTCTCCAGGCGCTGTCCAACTACCGCTTTCCTCTGTTTTTCTTAGTCAAGAGTTTCCATGGGTCTGAAAGATACTGGCACCTTTAAATTTACATTTGCGCTACATCCCTTTTCCATTGTCCTGCCTGCTCCGGCAAACGCGGGAGTTACTTGTGCTGAGGTCCCAAAAGCAGGCCTTCATCCACTCATCATAGACCAATACTGCAGCAGCGAAGAAACTGATGCCTCGGCTTTAATCTGCCGCAGCGGGCCGAACATGAAAATTTCAAAAAACAAAGCAACCGTACGAATCCCGGGGCTGATCCTCACGCAGCGTACAACGAGTTGAGCCCTGCAGCTACAGATCGGGGCAAAGGTCTGATCGAAGCCCATTGTACTTCGTCTCATTCGTCAAGGCCCACAACTGATTCCAGAAATCCGTACATCCATGCATTGCCAATGCCCAGGTTGCAGAACAGGTAGTCTACCAGGACAACGAGGGCAGCGAAGATGCCTTAAATGTCAGAGCAACGGCACGAGATAGCTCAGGTGTGCAATGCGGAGCCAGCCATTCTTTTCACCCCCCCCAGCTACATGACATTAACTGTCACCACAAACCCTGCGGCGCAGCCATCTGCAGACGAGCCATAAAGACTCACCTGGAACCGCCCAGCTCTCACGAATCCATAGCGGTGTGGCTGGGCAGGAAATCCCCTCTTGCAGGCCAGCAGCAGAAGCTCCTCACCAAAGGCAATGGCGAGGCGGCACCGATGACCTCGGATTCGCTGTCGGCTGCCTCTTTGAAGGGTTTGGATGTGATGCTTGGAAGATCTTGGGAGCAAAAGTACCATTAAACAGCAGCCCAACGTATGAAGGCAGCCGGGTGCAGTTTCCAAGCCTCTTTAATCCAGTTGTTGTCC